GAGACCCCGTCTCTACTAAAAATAGAAAGAAATTAATCAGACAACTAAAAAAAATATGTAGAAAAAATTAGCCGGGCATGGTGGCGCATGCCTGCAGTCCCAGTTACTCGGGAGGCTGAGGCAGGAGGATCGCTTGAGCCCAGGAGTGTGAGGTTGCTGTGAGCGAGGCTGATGCCATGGCACTCTAGCCCGGGTGACACAGTGAGACTCTGTCTTCAAAAAAAGAAATGGAGGCCAGGATGGAAGGATTGCTTGAGGCCAGGAGTTCAAGGCCAGCCTGGACAACATAGCAAGACCCCACCTCTACAGAAAATGAAAAAAATTAGCCAGGCATGGTGGCGCATGCCTATAGCCCCAGCTACTCGGGAGGCTGAGGCAGGAGGATCGCTTGAGCCCAGGAGTGTGAGGTTGCTGTGAGCGAGGCTGACGCCACGGCACTCTAGCCCGGGCAATAGAGCGAGACTATGCCTCAAAAAAAAAAAAAATGTTTTTGTTCAAGTGTCACCTTCTCGGAAAAGCCTTCACATCTCACCCTGTCTTAAGAAGCATCCTGGCCACTTTTTATCTCCTTCCTTCCTTTATTTTTTAAAAACCTAAGTGTGGTCATTGGCACTTGGTGAGTAATTATCGAGTAAGGGAGCGAACAGAAATGGAACGGAGGTGCGACGGTCACCTGCCCTTTCATCGCAGGGAGGAAATAGCCGTTTTCCTGCTGCTTCCCCGGCAGGTGAGAGACTCCGCCCAGTCCTTCCTGACGGTGCACGTGCCTCTCTACGTGTCCTACATCTACGTGACGGCCCCCAGGGGCTGGGCCTCCTTGGAGCATCACACAGAGATGGAGTTTTCCTTCTTCTACGACACTGTGCTCTGGAGGACAGGTAGGCCCGCGGCCGTCCCAGCTCTCCCCACCTCACGCTGGAGCAAGGTTGAAAGAGAAAATAAATAGTGGCCTTCGACGGTAGCAGCGTTCCTCACCCTGTTCTAGAAACAGTCACAGTGGGGCCGCCTCAAATCTGGAGCATGCAGATCTGTGGCTCCTGAAAAAGCACATCCTCCTGTCCTCGTGCTGCGGAATCTCCGCCTGGTCAGCGAAGGCCCGGCGTGGAGGGTGGCAGGTGACAGATGGGCCCTCTGCGGCCCGGTGGGGATTCAGGGGAATGTGCTTTGTCTCGGAGGATAATTGTGTGCGTTTTTTCCCGGTTAAAAATGGTGTGGTTCATGTTGTTGACAGAGCAGAAGGGTCTTAAATCAGAGGCACGGGAAAGGAAAAGTACATCAAGAACACTCCACATTTATGTCGAGCGGCCCACTTTGTTCATTTGACATAGAGTTTGCTCTTTGGATTCTCAAAAGTAGGGATTTTAGCCTTTGGGACTTCAAGGGCTGCAGCGCTAAATTTTTATTTATTTGTTTTTTCACAGTTTTATTTCAGAATATTAAGGGGGCACAAGTGTTTTTGTTACATGGATGAACTGTATAACGCTGAAGTCAGTTTTTAACGTGCCCGTCACAGAGTAGCGTTCCTTGCAGCTGACAGGTGAGCTCGTATCCCTGGCGTTATCCTCACTGAAGCGTCTCAGGGATGGAAAAACAAACGCCGCGTGTTCTCACTAACGAGTGGGAGCTAAACGACGGGTGCACATGGGCAAAAAGTGACGTTAATCTTTAAAATGACCTTCCCCTTAGGCTCGTCCCCCTTACTGCCCTCTTTGAGGAGAGCCCCCCGGCTGGGTGGGAGGCCACCCCCAGAGAGGCCCCCACCCACGTTCTCTCTCTACCTCCACGTAGATGCCCCGTCACGACACCCTGATTCTCCCCCCGTTCACTCCAACGGGGCTTCGTCGTTTTTGTTCTTCTGCTGTTTGTTTGTTTTCCCATTTTCAGGGTCCTGTACTTGAAACGTCACCCCCAACCCGTGTCCCCAAACCCGTCTCCCTCACTTCCGCTGTTCCCGTCCTCCCGTTTCCCCTGCGGGGGAGATGCACTTTATCTGGGGCAGAGATGCTAAACGCTGCAGGAGTTTTCTTTAGACGGGGCTTCATCTCTAGTAATTCAAAGACAATTGTCCTCCAGCGTCTGCGGGACGTTGGCTCCAGGACGTCCCGGAGACACCAAATCCGCAGACGCTCAAGTCCCCGATGTAAAACGGTGCAGTGTTTGCATAGAACCTACCCACAGCCTCCCGCATACTTTAAATCAGCTCTAGGTTACTTATAATACCTAATGCAGCGTACATGCTGTGTAAACAGTTGTTGCACTATATTGTTTGGGGAATAATGACAAGAAAAAAGCCTGTGCATGTTTAGTACACAGGCGATTTTTTAAAATATTTCTGATCCGTGGCTGGTGGAGTCCACAGGGGAGAACCCGTGGGTTCAGAGGGAGACTGCACAGTCCTCTCTCCTGATAAATGGCTTCAACCCAAATCGTGTATGTGCTTTGTATTTCCCACAGGAAGATAACTTCGCGAAGTTTTCCCACTCTGGGTCAGATAATTCCTTGAGCTTTGGTTCTTGTTTTATTTTGGGTTTTTTTTTCGGCTTTATTTTTCTGCTCCTCTGGTTACGCTCTGGTTTTGATCACCCTGCGCTCCTGGGGACCATGACCGCAGTTGCCTTCAGCAAAGCCGAGGCTTACTCTGGCCTCCTGCAGGGTCCCCTGTACCCTCCGCTGGTGTGAGCACTAGCTGTAGCCTCCACGACTTTGCGTGTGGATTTATTCAGTCCTGAAAGGTGTCCCGGTAAGGAAAAGAAAATGCCGCAGGAAGCTGATCCACTGTAACCAGGTCCTGGTGTAAGCTTGGTAGCAAGAAGGTTTAAGATCCTTTTTTTTTTTTTTTTTTTTTTTTGCTGAGCCCAGCATCTAGGCTACGTGGCACTTGCAGGCTTGAGGAGTTTGTGGCAAGGACGGTAGAATTGTGAAAAAGGACCAAGTGGAGAGTGAAATGAGCTGCCATACGATCTCGAGGGGCGCGTGTCTCCGTAGACACTGTGCTCGTGTGAATGTGTGTGTTTCATCTTCAGTTATGTTCACAGACATGTGCAGCTCTACTTCGAGGTGTCCCTGGATGGCTCACACGTAGGAAGGGCTTCTCCGTGCCCTAACCTGGCTGTTCTGTGTGTCGCTCCCCGTGCAGGAATCCAGACGGACAGCGTGCTCTCCGCAAGGCTTCAGATCATCAGGATCTACATCCGGGAGGACGGCCGTCTCGTCATCGAATTCAAGACACACGCTAAGTTCAGAGGTAACGTCAGTGCCGTTCTTCCCCAGCTTTTTTATTAAGAAATATATCAAAGATAAAGAAAAGTTGAAGGAAAAGAACAATAAAAAAAAGCCAACATTCGTTAACACGTTTCTGTGGGTACACGTGCGTGCGTGTGTACTTGTTTTGTTCACACCATTTGGAAACCAGTTTCAGACTTCATGTCAGGTGACCCTAAATACTTCAGTAGACGTCTGAGAGCAAGGACGTCCTCTCGCACGAGGACAACACCACTGTCACGTCCGACAGATCTCGCATCGACTCAGCAATACCAAGCCCCTGTTCCTATTTCCTCTGTCGTCCCACAAATGATTCTTTTCCACTATTTTGATACTTGTCTATTTTGTATCTGCTTATATAAAGAGGAGGGGGTTCCAATCAAGACTCACATGTTGCATCTCTTTAGTTTCTCTTCGTCTAAAACAGTCCCCATATTTTATGCACTCGGGACACCGAATCACTGCAGTGTTAAGGAGTGTGGAGGTATCTTGCTTGGTGACCTTGACCTTTTTAATGATGTTGACAAGTGTCCTCCTTCCACCAAGACCTTCAGTGGCCCGAAATGGTGATTTTTATCCGACACTGATGTTTCTATTTATGAACTACTAAGACCCTTTTACTTCCAAGAAGCATGTTGGTTAGAATTCAAAGCTGAGTATATTTGATGCTCACTGTCACACAAAGACCCTGTTGCTGTGGACATGCTCATTGGCACCATTTCCACAAGCCATGTCCCTGTTGTCTGTAAATAAACGTGTATGACCACGATGACCATCACGCGTGGGATGTGGGCTAGGAGGAGATGCCCTGCTGTCCTGACCGGTGGGGACGGTATTCCAAGGGGCAAAGGGTGTAACCCAAGTTATTTGGTAGAAGAACATTAACTCAGTTCTTAGGCTTTTGTAGGGGCTTCGTCACAAGTAAATAAAGCTCACAAACGAGTGCTCGTGTTGCCCCTGGAAACAGGACAGTTCGTCATGGAGCACCACACGCTCCCCGACGTGAGGTCTTTCATCCTGACCCCCGACCACCTGGGAGGAATCGAGTTTGACCTGCAGCTCCTCTGGAGTGCTCAGACCTTCGATTCTCCATACCAGCTCTGGAGAGCCACGAGCTCTTATAACAGGTAGATTCGGGGACGGAGGCTTCCAGGGGTGATCGGGAAGAGTTTCCGTTTCTTTCGGGAGTTTGGAAAATGAGGCTTTTCTCTGATGGCTGGATTTCTATTCTAAAAGGTGGATAGAGGCACCCCTCTAGCAAATAGAGAAAGAAGCAAATCTAGCTCACATCAGCTTCTTTTCTTCTTTTCTTTTTTTTTTCTGAGACATAGTCTCACTTTGTCACCCCGGCTAGAGTGCCGTGGCATCAGCCTAACTCACTGCAACCTCAAACTCCTGGGCTCAAGCGATCCTCCTGCCTCAGCCTCCCGAGTAGCTGGGACTACAGGCCGCACCACCATGCCCAGCTTGTTTTTTTATTAATATTTTTTTGTAGAGATGGGGTCTCACTGTGTTGCTCAAGCTGGTCTTGAACTCTTGTGTTTCAGAGAAGGTTCTGGGCACTTTGCATGTATCAGGAAACAAAATAAAGATCCCTGAATACAGGAGTTACAGTAAAGTAAGGAGACACCAAACAGGAGACATAAGACGTGAAGTATCACATATGTCTGACGGTGATGAGAGCTATGGAAAAATAAGAGAGAAAGAGCAGGGTGTGGGAAACCAGGAGTGGGCGGACGTTATACATTTACTGGAAACCAGTGCGAGGATCTGGCTTTTACTCCCGAGTGTGATGGGGGCCCCTGCAGGGTTTGAGTCCAGGAGCAACTGGATCTGGCCAGGCGTAGATTGTTCAGCCAAGTTCAATATTTCTGTTAATTAAGGGTCACTATTCACATCATACGTGTCAGTTTTCAGGTAGTGTAAATACAGTGTACAGCGTCTCAGTTCCTGCTGGTCCAGGCTTTGGGGGAAGACGAGGACCCTACAGGAAAACTGCAGACAGACAGACTTTGAGAGCAGGGAGGACCTTAGACACAAAGGCCCCAAGAATTTGCGTGGTTTGTCCAAAATCACACACCTGCGGCAGAGACAAAGCCAAGCCAGAGCAAGACTCTCTCCCGGTTAAACTGACCCCAGGAAGTGACATAAAAGTTATTTATTTACTTTTTACCAAATCTTTGCTATCACTCTACTAGTAAGTAGATAAGTACCCCAAAAAGGGTCAGAGAACAAACGTGACGTTTGTGAGACCTGTTCACAGATCGGTTCCCGGTCGTAGGGATGCATGGCCGCCTCCCAAGGCCCTTGAAGAATCTTCCTGAAGTTTCTGGGCACCTGGCTGCCTTCCAGGAACCTGACAGGGCTGGGGGTGCTCCCGAGTGATGAGTGTGGGAAGAGAAGCAGGGAAAGGGTACCAGGCCCCCATGCTCACGACGTCACGACCTGGAGAATCCTGTGCCCCCCATAAACAGGGAAGCTCCCCATGAGGCATCTCTAGTGAGAAGGGATCTTGTTCTATAACTTTGTAAAGATTTGAGGCTGTAGCATTTGAGCGGGAAACCCCAAAACTGAGTGCTGGTGAAACAGGTGGGGACACCCGGCAGAGTGCTGTTTCCATGTGCTCCGATCCTGACGCCTCGGCTACCTTCCTATCAGAGCAGCACCCGACGTCGTCACGTTGGGGCGAACGAAGCTGTCTCTGCGTTTGAGAATGTGTCGGGCAGGAGTCGGTTAACAAGAAACACTAAACAGAAATCGTCAATCACGGTTTCATGAAATCTAAAGGAAATGGCCAGTTCTGTTTTCTCACCCGCTGAGCCTTTTAGGTTTTTGTAAACAGCGTGCCTTTCTCAGCTTCTTCGTGAAAAGGGCTTGAATCAGTGAAAGTAGCTTTATCGAACACCTCCGGATGACACTCCGCACGTTAGAATAATCGGACGTGAGTTCCCAAAAACGGTGTTTGCAGCTCGTGGAGCTCTTGGATGCTGGACACGGATGCCGTCTGGAAACTGTTCTGGTGAAGTCCGTGTCTGTCTGGGTAAGCGAATAAGCGGTCGGTTCGTCCCGTGACACGGTCTGCTCTGCGTGTCCCCAGGAAGGACTACTCGGGAGAGTACAGCATCTACCTGATCCCCTGCACGGCGCAGCCCACGCAGCCGTGGGTCGACCCAGGAGAGAAGCCTCTGGCCTGCACCGCACACGCCGCGGAGAGGTAGGAGCTAC